TTTCTTTGTCCCTTTCTCTTCTCTTGAAACAACTCTTCTCTCTTTTAAAAGTCCTGTCTAGGAATTGGTGGGGTCCTTCGTTATTTCTCTCCTTCGAAATGTGGTCTTAGGCCTCTGGGGCAACACACCAGAGTCGGGAAGGCTTTACCACTGGGAGGTCCTTGGAGATTCCTTCACGTGGCCTCAGTCCTCCAACGGGCACCAGAAGCCAGTAGACCTGAACTCTGGAAGGGCAGCATGCCGTGGTCCAGTCATACCTGGAGAGGTTGCAGGGTCGCCAAGACAAGCCATCTGCGCCATCGCTGCGGACAGATGAGAGCTTTCACTGCCTCAGAACTCCCAGTCTGTGTCCATCACTCTTATCATTGTTTGGAGCTTGAAAGTAACGCTGGGCAGAGAAAATCCATTTCTAGATATCTGGAAGCTAGCTTTCATTTAAAGGTTGTTAGAGGCAAGGCATTCTGTCCATAGTGACCCTCTCTGCCTGCTTCCCAGATTTCACATGAGAACAAAAATAAAAAGTCAAAAGCTACTTATTAAAAGTTGCAGTTACTTCATATAGACAATTTAAGTTAATGGCATTAGACTTCACATCTAGAACTTATTTTATAAGAAAGTCAAGAGCTGTTGTATAATTGCTTAAGTACATATCATATATATATACATCTGTATATCTTATGTGTGTATATATGTATATACATACATGTACACTCATCTATAATTTCCTGTAATGATGGCTTATCTGGATTTTCTTTGAAGATTTATGTCCACAGGTTAAATAAAGGAACACAAAGCATCTTTATCCACATTTCTAAGTTGATCTTCTCTTTGGCATTTAGAGCAAAGAGGCACAATGAAGTTTCTGAGTTGCCAAGAGAACAAATTTGGTCAATCAACAGTGAACTAATCCTTCGCCTCAGGGTCTGGGCTTTCTATGACATTACTTTGAAATAGTATAGTCATTCTTCAAAGGCTCAAGAGTACTGCCTTTGGAAAAGTCCTGGGCTTAAAGGAGATCCCTGCCAACCAGTTGGGAGGTGGAGAGAGAAAGAGATGGATGGGGGAGAAAAAGATATTTTTCAAACTGGTTTTGGATTGTTTTCTCTCTTTTCAAAGAATCTCTGGGGAAAGGGGTCAGAAGGAGCCAGAAATTGAGGCTCCCAGAAGCAATTACCGACGGGAGTTAGTATGATGCTCCTCAATCCTCATGCCAAGATGGAAGGCACTGCGAGGTCTGGCACTGGGTGCCCTGCCACTGCCTAATTTGTACAGGCTGTAGCTGTCAATCAACTATCACTTGGCAACAAGTTACACCTGCAGCTCCCGTTTAACACTTTTGCATGTGGGCACCTAGAGTGTGTGCACCACCTTGGGCCTGGGGAACATCTTGTCATAAAAAGGGTTGATGGAGTGCACTGAACGCTAAGTACTAGCATGATCTCATACAAAGCTAAACCATTTACCTCCTATTTAAATACTCTGGAAAACAAGGGTAATGTCATATTTGGAAACAATTTTCAGGACTATGGTAGACAAAAACTAGACCAATTCAAAGTCAGCTATCCAAGTTCCAAAAAGTATAAAGCATTCCTGTGATGCACACTGGAGTGCAGGGTGTTTATAAAATAAATTGCTCCATTGATATGGAAAATAATGCACCAAGCCTGACTCATACAAAGTATTTTCAGGGGGTCTTAGGCTATTTAGTTTAAAATTTAAATAGAAAAGCAGAGCAAAGAAACCTTTCAATTGCTAAATGGATAATATAGTTTGTAATTTGTAAACCATTTCCTTTATTTCAGTCTGCCTGACTACTTTCCATATCACACTGGATCTCACTGCACACCCATTGCCTCCTAAATTATCAAAGGAAAAATGGGTCTATAACAGTCTTAAACAATATTCTTGTTCGTTTTGTTGTTCATTCACAGTGTAACTGATCTCTGTAGGTAGTGCATGAAACAAAAAGATTTAACACTACATTGTAGAAATAAAAACATAGTTGAAAACTGAGTTTATAACCTAGACATTTAGTAATATATATATATATATATATATATATATATATATAAAAGAAATGTCATTTCCTTTCTAATATAATTATATATCATTTGATGAGTTTACTATTAGACGTTGAATGGCCTGGAATGAAAGCAGTTTAACCTGCAGAGAGAACAATGTGCTGCTGAACTGCATACTTAGCGATCCTACAGTAAAAAACTACTGTAATAATCATAGTGATTGAGATGAAAGAAAGCATTATTCCTGTACCTTGGATAAGCAATAAGGTCAAAAATAAAATATAACAAGATGAGATCTATTGTGACATATTCGATGCCCACTATATTTAAACATTCTTCTTACTAGTATCATCATCATCATTATTATGTTTATTTCTAATATAACATAGTCAATCATGCCACCTGGTTAAGGCTCTACTTTACCAACCATCACTGTCATTAAGCATCCTCTTCTTAGGATGCATGATAAAAAATGCTCCTTGAAACTTCCTGAAAATGTAGGAGATAGAATTAGGGGAGCTCAACAGATATTCTAAAGTAATTTTTCGGGTCACTTTCAATCAGAGTGGCACAATGAACACAATGTTGTTTTTTTGGGGTTGGGTTAGAATGTCTTGTATGTTCCCAAATCAGACACTTTGATGTTTTAAGAATTATAACCACAGGTTGTTGCCTGAAATGGTATCTCTCAGTTGTTAAGACCTCATCTTCCTCAAGCGGCTTCAGATGGGCCCTGAGCAGTTCGTGAAGTTTTAGCACGTGGGCTAGATCGTTCTTTTGCGATATCAACAAACTTTTTCAGCCGTGACTGAGTAACTAGATTCCAGTTAGATCTTGTTTTTGACCTACCCAGAAACTCCTTTTTAGCAGGAGGAAGCCAAGTTGGAAAGATATGCAACTAAAAACTCTCAGGCTCATTTTTAAGACACTCCGTAGCACAGTGAAGGGGTGATTCAAAAGGAAGCTATGGGATTATGTCCTATACGAGAGCTTCCTGGTTACCGTAATTATAGGGGGCCTTGAGCAGTGGTTAAAGCTCTCTGCTGCTAACTGCAAGGTGGGCAGTTCGAACCCATCAGGCCCTAGCTAGAGAAAGATGTGATGGTCTGCTTCCATTAAGATTTCAGGCTTGGAAACCCTATGGGGCAGTTCTACTCTGTCCTATAGGGCCGCTATGAGTCAGAATTCACTCAATGACATTGGATTTAGTTTGAGTTTTGACTGTAAATGCCTTTGCTGTAAAAGGGGCACTGCAGATTGCAGTGAGAACGTCAATGCACACGGCATTGAAGGATGCTTTCCGAGGAGGGACTGGGCTGCCCTAGTCCTGTGATCGGGCAGAGCAGCAGGAGAACCCATGGGCAAATTTCTGCGGGTGTGCACCTCGTTTTGTCTCCCATGCGACCGAGGGCGCGCTCCCTTTCTAGCCCTCTGGACACGCTGAAAGGAGCTCTGATGGCACAGTGTTTAAAGATTTCGGCTCTAACCAAAAGATCAGCAGTTCGGAACCATCAGCCTCTCTAGAAGAGAAAGACAAGGCAGTCTGCTTCCATAAAGATGTACAGCCTTGGAAATCCAATGGGGCAGTTCCACTCTGCCCTATAGGGTTGCTACCAGTCAGAATCACTCGCAGGCACTGGGTTTTTGAACAAGCTGAGGGCAAGGTGCCGGCATCGGTTACCAACTTTCCCCTTCTCTCTGGGCGCAGAGTTAATAGCGTGGGCGCAGAGGAGGAGCTGGGTCACAATTCAGCACATTTATATCTGACCAGAGGCTGTATTTTCCTCTCCCGCCCCCCATCGTTTCTTTCTCCGTCTTCGCTTTCAAATCCAATCGTTAATCATCCTGGGCGCGCGAGCGGGGGAGAGGGCGAGGAGGGCGAGCTCAGAGTTTGCCGCCGCCGCCGCCGCCGCGCGCGCTCAGGAAGCAGCGTGGCTGTGACCCCCTTCCTGGGCCCCTCCCTCCTTCCTCTGCCTCTCCCCTCCTTCCTTCCTTTCTCCCTCCTCCCGCCGCCCGCGCCGAGTTTATATACTCGCCTCCCCACGTCACTCGCCAGCGCGCCATGCAAATAATCCCCCCGCCGCCGGCTCTCATTGGCCGCGGCCAACTCATTTAATGGCAGCTCGGGGCTCAGCGTATGGCTGCTGGGGCCCCGGCGCGCCGCGAGCCTCGCTCCTGCGCCTCTGTTCCGAGCGCTCCGGCCACAAGCAGGAAAACCAAGAACACATTTCCCGGCCACTTCTCTTGGGCTCCGAGGTGCCAGCTCTCTTCCTCCTCTTTCTGCTCCCTCGCTCCCTTCCACCGTCCCCCCTTCTCTCGCCTCCTCCCCAGTTCAATTTTAATTGCATCCTCCTGTTCCCGAGGCGGCGACGGCTGCACAAGTTAAAAGAGTCTCCCCACCCCACCCCACCCCGTCTTGCTCTCACTGGGCACCTGGGACCAGCAGATGCAAAATGCACGCGGCTCGCCTTTCTCTCAGAAGTTGTGGCCACCAAGTTTGAAGGCCGGTAAAGAATAACGCGAAAGAAGAAAGGCGGGAGCGCGCGCGCGCGCGCGCGCGGCGGCGGCGAGCGGGGAGGCGGCGACCCCTCGGGCCGGCCCAGTACAGCCAACTCCCTCCCGCCTCCGAAAGTGGAGCCGAAACTTTGCAACAACTGCACCTGTTTGAACAGCTCCGCCGCGGGCAACTGGGCTACGGCGACGGCGACAGAACCAGAATTCAACCTCTTTGGCAAGTGGTTTCTGCACGAGGAGAAACTTTCTACCTGTGAATCTGACCAGCGTTGAGTGCGTGTGTTTTTCCTTTTTTGTTGTTGCCTCCACCCTCCTTACCCCCATTATTCTCTCTGCTAGGACCTCTTCCCACCCCACCCCCTTGACGTTTCGTTCCGTTTCTCACCCTTCTCCCCCTACCCACCCTTGGCCCTCTATGCTTGAGCCTCTTTTTTCCTGGTGCCGGTGAACCCAAAAGCCGCCCCGATGTACAGCATGATGATGGAGACCGACCTGCACTCGCCCGGCGGGGCCCAGGCCCCCACGAACCTCTCGGGCCAGACCGGGGCGGGTGGCGGCGGGGGTGGCGGCGGCGGCGGCGGGGGCGGCAGCACCAAAGCAAACCAGGACCGGGTCAAGCGACCCATGAACGCCTTTATGGTGTGGTCCCGCGGGCAAAGGCGCAAGATGGCTCAGGAGAACCCCAAGATGCACAACTCGGAGATCAGCAAGCGCCTAGGCGCAGAGTGGAAGGTGATGTCGGAGGCGGAGAAGCGGCCGTTCATCGACGAGGCCAAACGGCTGCGGGCGCTGCATATGAAGGAGCACCCGGATTACAAGTACCGGCCGCGCCGAAAGACCAAGACGCTTCTCAAGAAAGACAAATACTCTCTGGCCGGAGGGCTGCTGACGGCGGGCGCCGGTGGTGGCGGCCCGGCAGTCGGCGTGGGCATGGGCGTGGGCGTGAGCGCCGCGGGCGTGGGCCAGCGCCTCGAGAGCCCAGGCGGCGCGGCCAGCGGCGGCTACGCGCACATGAACGGCTGGGCCAACGGCGCCTACCCGGGGTCGGTGGCGGCCGCCGCGGCGGCCGCGGCCATGATGCAGGAGGCGCAGCTCGCGTACAGCCAGCACCCGGGCGCCGGCGGCGCGCATCCTCACCACCCGCATCCTCACCACCCGCACCCGCATCCGCACAACCCGCAGCCCATGCACCGCTACGACATGGGCGCGCTGCAGTACAGCCCTATCTCCAACTCGCAGGGCTACATGAGCGCGTCGCCCTCGGGCTACGGCGGCCTGTCCTACGGCGCAGCGGCCGCCGCCGCCGCCGCCGCGGGAGGCCCGCACCAGAACTCTGCCGTGGCGGCCGCAGCTGCAGCAGCGGCCGCGTCTTCTGGCGCCCTGGGTGCTCTGGGCTCTCTAGTTAAGTCAGAGCCGAGCGTCAGCCCGCCGGTCACGTCGCACTCGCGAGCGCCCTGCCCCGGGGACCTGCGCGAGATGATCAGCATGTACTTACCTGCCGGCGAGGGCGGCGACCCTGCGGCGGCTGCGGCCGCGGCCGCGGCGCAAAGCCGGCTGCACTCGTTGCCCCAGCACTACCAGGGCGCCAGCTCAGGCGTCAACGGCACTGTGCCCCTGACGCACATCTAGCGGCCGGCGCAGCACCGGCCAGGCCGGGAGGAGACACTGCGCACCGGCCGGCCGTGGGGTCGCTTGGACCGAAAGACGAACAAACTTACACCTCCCTCCCGGCACGGCCCCCGTCCTGGTTCTGGTTCTTACACTCTTGGGCCCCCCACCCCACCCTAGCTTTTTTTTTTTTTTTGTACAGAATGTTTTCATGTTCTTGTAAAAATGAAAATATTGATAAGGAACAGAAGGTAACCGTTGCTCTACTTACCTTTTTAGAAGCCCCTGGGGACTACTAGTTGTTGAAACAAGTTTTGCGTTTTAAACTGAACTTCGGTGTTTTATTGAGACTTTTTGTACAGTATTTATCATGTATGGAGGAGTCAGAAAGCGTTTTATTTGCTAATGAGGACAAAAAGACAAAACAAAAATATAGGCAATGCCAACTTTTATATAACCGCTGGAGCAGTACCGTTCATCCTTGCATCGCTTCTTCATGGCTTTTGATTGCCTAAAACGATGTGATGGGGGGGCATAATTCTTATTTGTTATATATGTAGTAAGGCAAATCCAAACACTTAGAAGGGTTTTTTTTTTTTTTTTTTTTTTTTTTTTTTTTGTAGTTGTTACCGCTTTTTTTTGTTTGTTTGTTTGTTAATTTATACAAAGAGCGTTTCCCCCTTTAGACTGAGACATTATATTTTGGATTTTGTAAAACTTTCTGTATCTGAAAATTTCCAGTTTTTGTTTTGTATTATCTCTTGTAAATGCATTGTGGAATTTTTATTTTAGACGTTGCGGTATGGAGGAGGGAGATTCAGATTATGTATATAGTTTCCTAAAAAGCCTTTCTTCTAAAATGAAAAAGAACCCCCGCTAGAGATGCATTGAATTTTGAGTCAATAAATTTAAAAGAGAAAAAAAAAACCGTTTTTTTTCCATAAATTTGAAACGTGCTAGCTTTGTATGCATGTTTTATGATATCAACATAGTAAATCTGGAAGAGAAGAAAGATCAGAATGAACTAAAAATAACAAAACCCCAGGGATGGAAATAGGATTCCCACAAAGCTTTATAAAATGGAAGAGAAAAAGGTACAAATAAATAAAACAGGTTTAAAGTGAGATTATATTATATAGTTTACCATGTTAATATGGAAGGAGAATTAATTACCCCCCCCCAAAAAAAAAAACTTTTTATAGTCTGGCCCTTCCTTTTGCTTGTTTTTAACTGTGGGCGGTGGCACAGGCAGTTCCTGGTCTTAGATCTGCATATTTTTGTCTGGAGGAGAAAAGAGAATAGGAGAACCCAATGGCTAGGCCAAGCAAAGGCTGGGGGATAAAGACAACGTTTGGACATGGGTTCCCCCAAACCCCCTGTAATTAACAGGATTGCAAGCAGAATTTATCTGGTGTTATTCAAGGAAATGCAATCTATGAACCAAAATGTACTGTGCACCCAGCCCTCTCCGTCCATCCTCTGCCACTCCCTCTGGCCTCTTGGTCTTTAGGAAAAGGCCAAATATTTTGGTAGGGTTTATCACATACATGCTTACAAAAAGTTAGCACCCATCTTCCTCCCCTCCCTCCATCGAGAACTGGGATTTAACTTTCTAACCAATATAAACACAAAATGCCATGTTTATGATTCCTGATGAGACCCCGAAGTTGTGTGATGCTTTAAAATTTTTAATTATATTTTTATCTAGGTGTTTATTATTGCAGTTTTTCCTGGAATTTAAAGTTTTCTGTAAAACTTTGTCTTCAAATAATCTGACAGCATTAAATACTGCATTTAAAAGTTATACTATAGCAAATACATTTTGAAATTAGTCACAACATTGAGATACTATATTTTGAAAGAAAATGTTTAAGTCCACATAGGAATATATTGATTACAGCAGTTTTAGACTTATCCATTTCATTTTCTCAGTATCTTTTTGCATCCTGGAAGAGTATGGATTATCCATCCAAAAGTGGGCATGTGCTAGGTGGCTAGTAAGAACCAAATGCAGTGTGCATTCAAGATTACCCTTCAAGTATAATGCTAACCTGACAATTGACATGTGTGATTTTTTGGAGTCATTTTGATAATTTTACTTAAACCACTCATTCGTTAAAGTGATTGCAAAAATTCCAAGAATGATGTCTATTGCTTTCTAACAAGATAATAAAAGTACCCCCCCCTTTTTTGTTTTTAGCGATTTGATCCTTTTGTGAAACTGGTTTCTAAAAATGTTTGGATGCATATGAATTGCTGAATGGAGTAGCCCCATGAAACAGGCTGGGAATAAGTTCCACACATATTCTCCTCTGGGAGATGATTTGGAAAATTCTATAATGCTGTGTTAATTCACAACCAAGCTTTAAAGGCCAGGCCACCATATTCTGAAATATACTGAGTTCAATTTAACTCTCTGAAGCTCTTCTCTTGCTGACTCCGATATCTCCACATCTCTCTGTACTTAACTTCACTAGTAGACAAATGTGTGACCCTGTTCACATATGTATATACCCAAATTTGTATTTATGTTCAGCTGTTGGCATCGAGATCTCGGTTCATCACACACATAAGTAGTGTGAGTTCCGATAGAGGATTGTGGTCTGGCTTTTAAAGCTGCAGATATTTAAAAAGTTTAGCAACAGCAGGCAAAGCAGTCAGTGGTTTTCTGGAAGATGAAGTTACAGTGTGCCATTCTATAGTATTTGCCTCATACACAGTCAAACTAGTCAATGTCAGGTGCTCCAAACCATGTTATTTCTTTATTCTTTGGTTGATTAGAACAATACGGAGAAAATCAAACGGATTCTTTAATGATAGTCAATTTATAAACAAAGTGTAAGGGGTAGAGAATAGCTGGGTTTCATTTATCATGATTGAGATCCCATCAATCCAGCAGTGTCTCTTCAAATAAAATTTGCGGAGAAAATATTATAGGCCCCGGGAGACTTTTCCCTCAACTGCAAATTCGGTTCTTGCCAAGGTAATAGTAATCGTATTCACGAAATGAAATATTACATGATTCTAATAATTATAGGATGACTTCATTTCCAAAATCACAGGTTGTTGTTTTTTATCGCTGTTTATTCCAATATTTTTATAAACCATGTAAAGAACAGCTACAAGACCGTGTTGAGGTCTTGTGTAAAGTTTTATTAACTTCCCGCCATAGCGACTCCTGAATTCTTCATTACTGGACAGTTCCTCTGAGGCCTGATCTCTCTAAGGTGGGTCTCTTTACTGACGTCAGGATGGCTCAGTTGAAGATTATTTGTTATGCTTTTGTTTTGTTTTTACCTCACTCCGCTTTTTTTTTTTTTTTTTTTGTTAACACTTTGTCACCCCTACTCCTCCTCGCTCCAAGTAGCTAGATGGAATGAATTTTTTAAAACCATCGCGGGTACAGCGTGCTTGATCTGCAGGTGTTTGTTGGGTGACTGACAGGTCTATTAAAATAATGTATGTGGGAGAAGAATAACACATATATTCGCGCATTTCATTTTCCCCACAAAGACTGGGCAACGCAGATTATTGTCTCTGGAAAATTCTGTCTAATTAGAAAAAATATTCCTAGGACCCTAGCCCCTGGAAGGAGAAATTTAAGGTCAATCTCGGTTCTAGCACCACCCACCTCACCCAACCGGACCCCCGCTTCCCTTGTCGCCATCGTCTTTACTGGCTCCCCAACCTCCGCTTCCGCAGACTGGCCCCTGGGGCAGAGACACTAGAAATGTTGAGTTTAATCATAGGTTTGATTCCTTGGAAACTCCAAGTGAAAAAGCTAACTTGGCCTTGGCTTCAGCTCTTTTTCCAGCGTGACTATTTGGCGGGATTGAAAGGCCGGCCCGGCCAGATAGGGGGGGAGG